TGTGTGTGTATCCTTTACTCTTGTCTTTTGGAGCTTGGGGGTACCTGATAACACTGGTAACCCGCCACCCCAAGCACTCTGCCATTCTATTATCCTTTATTTTTTGTTTGCAATAATCACTAATGAATTTCATTCCAATGCATAAACTAACCCTTACCCTGCCTTATTGTTTTATAGCTGAAACAGGATCCAGGAGCAGACAACCCAATTTTCCTTCCTACTGATCATCACTATGAGTGGTTGTTGGCAAAAACCTTTGTAAGAAGTGCAGAATTTAATTTGCATCAGCTCAACTTTCATCTGCTGCGCACTCACCTGCTGGCTGAGGTCTTTGCAGTGTCCACGCGGCGCAACCTACCTATGGTTCATCCACTGTACAAGGTAAGTGAACCTGCAGGCTTGGTGACCCTATTTCTTCCTCTGCTCTTTTCTTATGTGGGGTTCCCCAAGGCTCGGCCCTGGGTCCCATCTTGTTTCCTCTCTATTTACTCTTGCTTTGATACATGCTCAAAAAGCATGTTTTTTTTTTTTTTTTACCATTACTATGCAACCGACAGTCAAATTTATGTCCCTCTTAAAAAGAAAGATGCTTGCTCTATCACTATCTTAATCAAGTGTCTTGATGACATAGAGGCCTGGATGTCTCTGAACATTTTACATTTTGATGAAAAAAAAAGCCATTCTTGCAAGAAAATAGTCTGAATTGGTATTCCACACATTTTTTACTACTCGGCTGGATTATTGCAATGCCCTCTATGTGTCTCCAGAAGTTTCAGCAAGCTTCGGCCCGCCTTTTAACCGTCACACGCAAGTATGAGCACATCTCCCCCATTTTAGTTTCACTCCACTGGCTGTCCATATATTTTAGCATTCCCCACCATACTGCTCTGTGCTTCTACATCCTTATAGACCTATACTCGCTCTCGCAGGTCAGCTGCTCTTGATGGAGCCTAAAATTAAGTGGAAGCTCAGAGGGGACAGCGTTTTTGCCATTGCCATTTGATTTTATTACATTTCATTCTTTCCATCTCAAAAAAAAAAAACAAAAAAAAAACAAATATGTTGCCTGGAAGTTATTAAAGAATCAAAATAAATACAAAATAAAATATATAAACCTGTATTTATAAAACTGGAGCTCCATGATGAATTTGGAATTTGGAACAAAATACAGAACAAAAATTATAGTCAGACTTACTTAATTGGTTTTACTTTGTTTTAATCCAGACAACTGAGCTTCTTTGATGAGCTCTGATAGCTCAGTGTGAAAAACAGTTGATCCCAGGCTGTTGTCTACATCCAGGCTACCGTAAATGCGTATGGCCATTGTTTCTTACTTTAAATGTCCAACTTCCTCCACATTTTTTGAATTAGCTAATGTTTATGTTTGGCACCAGAAAAAGCAAAAAACAAAAAAAGGAAAAAAGGTGAGGGTTCATGAATTTTTTTCTCTGTCCTCAGCTTCTCATACCCCACACTCGCTACACTCTGGCTATTAATGTCCTGGCTCGACAGATGCTAATATCTGAGCATGGTGTCTTTACAGAGGTGAGAAAACATTGTTCAATAATGAAATTGAAGTTTTTTAAATGAAAACAATTTAACTTGGACTACATTTTTCATTAGATAGCAGCTTCGGGTGGAGAGGGTATGTTCCAACTCCTGAGGAGATCCTTGTCCAAAATAAAGTACAGATCCCTCTGTATACCTGATGACATTGAAGATCGCGGGATGGACAAAATTCCCAACTTCTACTACAGAGACGACGGAATGAAACTGTGGAACAGTCTACACAGGTAAAATTGGTTATGGTTGAAACTTGAATAATCCATCCATCCATCCATCCTCTAGCACGCTTATCCCGAGTGGGGGTGCTGGTGCCTATCTCAAGCAGTCAATGGGCGAGAGGCGGGGTACACCCTGGACAGTTCGCCGTTCCATCGCAGGGCACTTGAATAATCAAACATATGAAATATGTTTTTCATTCAGTAACTATGCTGGTGAAGATTCTCAGTCATCCAGATCATAGTCATTTCAAAACATTAAAATCAATCCACTAGACTTTGCTTCCAAGTTTGAAGATGTTACGCTTTCCATCCAGGAAGCTTTTTCAATTAAAAATGTCCATAACAGCATTGAGTTTGAGGCTTTATAGAGGGAATCAAAAATAAAGCCTTGTTTTGGATTAGAAAAGATGCAAATTGAACCGGACAAAAGGGTCTGCCCCTAAGGAATTGACAGTCATTTGGGTTCTTGTAGACAGCAAATCCCATGATGCTTTGCGAGGACAGCACTCCGCGCAAAGCATTCCAGGATATATCCGTATATTCTGAGGCCTTGCTTTTCATCTCATACACTTTGTTGACACTTTTTCTCTTCAAAAATTATGGCTCACCACAAATTTTCGCCTGACATAATAGACATTATTTTATCTTCCAACTCCTAATGTTCTCTTGTGTGTGCGCTCTGCACAATGACATAATCAGCATTACAAACATAAATTTAAAGACACTAGATCACTGTACTGTATTCTCCTTTTCAGCTTTTATAACAATTTATATTACACAATAGCAGATATACAGCAGATATAATTTTACATACTTTAAAGTGTAAGTTGTCCCCATCTTTTTCATAAAGCTGTGGAGTAAGTCTTTATTATAATATTAATCTCTTTTGAACAATGCAATTCTCTATCTGCAAAAGATTTTTTTCAGGAATCCTGAAACACTACTACAAGACTGACAAGGACGTGAAAGCAGACGCAGAACTGCAGGATTGGATAGGGGACATTTTTAGACATGGATTTCTTTCCAACAAAAAATCTGGTAGGTTTTCAGTTTAACTCAAAGAAGAAAATTCAACTGTAAGGTTCTACATTTGGGGATATATGCCATGCCCCCTCTTTTAGAATTGATAGTCAATGCAGTTTGGTTGGTTTTGTGGTACAGACTTGGTTTTCATCCTCACACAGATTAAGATCAAAGGCTTTAGGGATTACTCAGACTCAACATCTCGATCAGGGTTAGTTTGTTTGTGATTTGCTTTGGATAAGTAAAGGTGCAGGCCTAAATTTAGAGGAAAAGGGTGATAGAGTTTTGGAGCAGCAACAGCTCAAGTTCCCGGTCAGCTTTTAACA